AAATCATCGTTGTTCATTTTTAAATGAGATAAAAAATCAGTTTTCAAAACTGCCCTGTTTTTCAGGGTATTTTGAAAATGTGCCAGAAAACCACTGAATCGAATCTTCAATTTTGCTTTGATTTTTGAAAGAAAAAAATGCGTCAATCATTTTGCCTGAAAAACATGGTTTTTTGTAAATGTGATAAAAAATGAAAAAAGTAATTTTTTTAAACTGCCCTGTTTTTCAGGGTATTTTGAAAATGTGCCAGAAACCCCCTTTTCCTACTACTCACGTTTAAAAAAAATGCAGATTTCCTTTGATCAATAAGCAAGTAAATAGCAAGAGATCTGCAGAATTTCTAAATTTCCTTTCAAGTAAGAAGGCAGAGCTTCTCGTCTGTACTGCAAACGGAAACTTGTATGTCAACAAGAATGCGGCATGTGACTTTAAAACCTCCTCTCTTGTTACAATCTCCTGATTGTAAACTGTGATAATAAACAAACAAATCAAAGACTGTCTATTGCAGTAAGAAAGCCACATTTGCCTATTTTCGGCGAATCTCCAAAATAAACGACAGAAGGGGGAGAAACAGTACGACTCTCCCGTCAATATTTCGCCTACATGCTTCTCTTTAAACGTGAAATTTTCCAATTTCTACGAAGAATCTGGAAAGTTACTTACATTTCGTAGCTTCCTTGACTAATTATCTTGTTTAACGAGCTAGAAAATGATGCTATACTTGCCTAAATAACTGCTTACAGCTACAATTGCGTGACAGGTGTAGATGAGAGAAGCTTTTAAAGTCGCAGATTTTGTAGCGTTTATGGTGACCAAAAATCTAAATTCTTGAGTTCAAGGGGGTGTCGCTCCAAAACGCAGTTAACGAGGTGTTTGGGACTATTTTACGGATCGAAATGACAAACCAAAGTTGACCGTTCGCGCGAATCTTTATTCTTGAAAGGCAATGGACCACGAACCACAATCAACGATGGAAATAACGAATATTCTCACAGTCAATCTATCGAACGATCGATCGTAAACTGAAACAACGATACAACGAAGTTCTATCAATCTAATGAAAAGCTGCGGAATACATAATCAAAGAATCGCATGTCAAATACTCGACTCTAACGTCGATAACAAGATTAACAATACAAGTGAAACAGAACAAAAGTTTCGATACAAATTAAAAGAATTTGGGTGGCTGGTAAACAGCCCATTGTTCTATCTAAATGATGGGCGTTCACTGACTCGCATTTGGCACGAATTTGGCCTTTAAATCTTAAATCCATAGAGAAAATTGCAATGTTTGTTTGCACATTCTCGCCGACCACTCAAAAGACTAGAAAGGAAAAAACAAAGTTACAAAGGTACTCACATATCGGTCCCGCTTGTGCCAGAGGTTGAGAAAACGAAAGGGCGAAAGTTAACCAAGACTATTCAAACTTACGAAGAACTGATTAAAGGGACGCTAAAGTTGCGTTTTATATATGCGCTTGGTGACGCTGAAAGGTCCGATTACAAAACCAATAGTAATACAGAAAAACAGATAAGTATTGTAACAATGTACGTATCTAAGATCATTCTGAAATTAGTGAACTAATCAATAATCAATCAAAAAATGAGCCTTCTGGCTAAGATAGGGTCTCTAAGTACTTACGAGTGACCACGAGTAAGATTAAATCAAAATATCTCAGGTTTGTTACTATGACGTCATTACGCAGTCAAATTCACATCATTTCATCAAACGCCTATTTTGAAAGGAAACTAACATTTTCCGCGGCACACGTCCGATAATTGAAAAAAATTCCAAAAAATATATTTAAAAAAACCTTAACTACAGCAAAATGTATATTTTATTCTAGCACCGTGTTATTTAACTTTTTGAAAACACGCTAAGCGTTTGATTTGAATATTTCCTTTGAGACGCAACGCAACCAACGTTCCGCCACTGTCATCTACTCCTCCTCTACTCGACCGTAACAAAAATACAACTTCAGAGCGCGTGAAGTCTTTACGCCTGTTGTTTAATATTAAAGTCAGCCATTACCGAACTTGACAAGCAAACACGCAAACCCATTTTAAAGCGCGTGGAATCGCCCAAAATGCCCCCTATGGTGTCTAGCTGCCTAGTTCCCACGGTTATGGTTGTATACTATTTTTGGAATCATACGGAGAGGTTAGGTGTAATAAAAAGTTGTCATGATAAACAGATATTCATACGAATAGTTCACGACCCAAGCGACATATAAGGCAAGAAAATAGCCGGACTATTACTTTGACGCTTGGAGTAGGGAGTTTACAACGCAAAACCCAATGAAGTACTTGTCCAGACCTCTCGTCGGCAGTACATTTGAAAGTTGAATGGAATTTTCCAAAGTGAAGGGTTGATCATTGACATCATTGGGTTGTTAAAATAGAGCCAAATAAAATGGTGATGTGATATTTATGACTATTCTTCAAATGGTNAGTTCCCATGGTTATTGTTGTATACTATTTTTGGAATTATACGAAGAGGTTAGATGTAATAAAAAGTTGTCATGATAAACATATATTCATACGAATTGTTTGCGACCCAAGCGATATATAAGCTAAGAAAATAGCCGGATTATTACTTTGACGCTAGGAGTAGTGAGTTTACGACGCAAAACCCAATGAAGTACTTCTCCAGACCTCTCGTCGGCAGTATATTTAAAAGTTGAATGGAATTTTCCAAAGTGAAGGGTTCATCATTGACAACATTGGGTTGTTAAAATAGAGCCAAATAAAATGGTCATGTGATATTTATGACTATTCTTAAAATCGTTTTTGTTTTCAACCTATCGTAACTGTGCAATCTGTAATGTATAGTCCACACTGCAAGTTTTTAAATATTATCGCATCTGTTTTTCATGTTTTTCAAATCGTCCGCTATGCATTTATACAGTGAATAACTTCAGTTTTCGTGAGTAAGTCATTATTTCACGAGATTAAGCGAAAACGATTCCGTAATGACGTCATAGTAACAGAACTGAGATATTTTGATTTAATCTCACTCGTGGTCACTCGTAGTCACTCGTGGTCACTCGTGGTCACTCGTGGTCACTCGTAAGCACTTTTAGACCCTATCGTCTGTCTAATGTCCTCAACAGATTTCAAAAGGCATTCCGCACAAAAATATGGTAGTTTCCACAGATTTTTTAATGATTTTCAGAGATAAAATAATTGACTAGAAAGGGGCATTCAAATTAGTGTTGTAGCTTTCTGGCGAGGGGAGATATTTAACCTCAAAGTTACCAAATATTTGAGTGAATCTAAAATTGTAAAAATACACTAATTTATTCACCTCTGTTGATTGACAAGCCGCCAATCAAATCGATTGAAACTTGTATCGTACATTTATTAAGGATGTACCCATACGTATGCAAGTCGTCATAGTAATTTGTCACATACAGTTGCAGTAAGGGCTTCTTACATTTTACCTATTTTGAGGCCATTTCTTAGGGAAAACCTAGAAAAACCGGGAGTGTAGTCTATCTTCCCCTGTAAATAACCAAAGCAGAAACCAGCTTGTCATTTTGAGTTTTGGGGTAGATCCTTTGAACTGGCGAATTTTCATTGAAATCAGTGAGATGGCATGTGTTACGACTGCCTGCTGCTCTCGCGAACACGCTCTTAAAGCCCTTGCCAATTGGACTAAACGGAAGATCGATTATTTTCGATTTAAGAAAATATCTGTGATCCATAATTACCTTAAGGTTGAGTAATTCATGTCCACTAATTGGCACGCTTATGATATCTTTTTTAGGAAAACAAAAACAATCCCTAACCTTCTAATTTGTGCAACTAGATCTCTGAAGTTCCATTCCCAGGCGTACATTTTCACCACACGGAGACCAGAAATGATCTCTTTCATTGTTTTCAGCCTCTCGTCAGTTACTGCAGCAGATCGGTGGCGTATTTCCCCAGCTTTACGAGCTATCAATGATCCGTAAGCGATGACAACAAGAAAAAAGGAAACTCCCAATAACGCTTGCCAGGCCACTAAGTACCATACCATAGCCAAGGAGGTAATGAGGTCTAAAAGGGCAAATGAAAATGTATACAAGATGTAACCCAGCTCCTCAATAGTTTGAGCATCGTTGGAAACAAGATTGATAGTGTTCTCGGAAATTGAGTCTTCTAGGGTGCATCTCTGACTGTTGAGAATCTGGCAAAGATAAAGGGAAACAATGAAAATATTATAGTTGGAAACAGTAACAGCGCTTTTTCTTCTCGAGCACAGCATCAGTTCCTTGAATGAGAAGGATCCTCTTAAAGGGATGTCATCTTCATCTCCGCCATTGGTACATGTGTTTATTCTTAAATGTACTGTTCGCATGTTTGAAATTTCAAAGAATGACCCAACCGTTG